AAAAAAAAAAAAAAAAAAAAAAAAAAAAAAAAAAAAAAAAAAAATTGACCAGGACATGGGGAAAACTCAAAATGAAATACAAACTATAACAACAACAACAAAGAAAAATGGCTAGGTGCAGTGGCTTACACCTGTAATCCCAGCACTTTGGAAGGCCGAGGTGGGTGGATCACAGGTCAGGAGTTCGAGACCAGGCTGGCCAATATGGTGAAACCCCATTCTACTAAAAACACAAAAATTAGCCAGACATGGTGGCAGGTGCCTATAGCCCCAGCTACTTGGGAGGCTGAGGCAGGAGTATCACTTGAACCTGGGAAGCAGACGTTGCAGTGAGCCAAGATTGCGCCACTATGCTCCTGCCTGGGCAACAAAGTGAGACTCCATCTCAAAAAAAAAAAAAAATTAGATATTGGTTGGTTAGTTGGTTGGTTTTCAGACAGGGTCTCACTCTGTTGCCCAGGTTACAGTGCAATGACATGATCATGGCTCACTTCAGTCTCAAACACCTGGGCTCAAGCAAGCCTCCTGCCTCAACCTGCAGAGTAGTTGAGACTACAGGTATGCATCACCATGCTCAGCTAATTTTTTATTTTTAATTTATTTTTTTATAGAGATGGGGGTCTCGCCATGTTGCCCAGGCTGGTCTCCAACTCCTGGCCTCAAGCGATCCTACCACCTCAGCCTCCTAAAGTGCTGATATTGTAAGCATTGAGTGACACTGCCTGGCCAAAAATTAAACATTGTTTCCATAGAAAAATTATATCATGTGTGGCTTAAAATATAGGCATAACTAATATACCTGAAAACAATAGCATAAAAAATCGGCAGTAGTAAATAAAGCTAAAGTATTATAAGGTGCTTGCATAGAATGAGAAGTGGTAAAAGTACTATTTCCTATTGGGCTTTAATAAATCAAAGATGTATATTGACTGCTACAGGGCAACTACTAAAATAATAGTAAGAGAATGTATATTAAGAAAATAGGAGAACAATAAGAAAAATACTTGTTATGAGTTATACAAATTTCTGTAGCCTCCTTAAATTCCTGCCTGAAAATGGGCTTTTCTTTTCAGCCACATGGCCAGGCTTCAAATTTTCCCAACTTTTACACTCTTCTTCTCTTTTAAATATGCTTTAGTTTTAGGTCATTTATTCGTGCATGCATATGAGCATAGGTTGTTGGAAGCAGCCAGGTAAAATCTTGAATGCTTTACTGCTTAGAAATTTCTTCTGCCAGCTACACTAAATCATCACTCTCAAGTTCAAAGTTCTAAAGATCCCTAGGGCAGGGGCACAATGCCTCCAAGTTCTTTGCTAACCCATAACAAAAGTGACCTTTGTTCTACTTCCCAATAAGATCTTCATTTCCATATAAGACCTCCTCAGCTTGGACTTCATTGTCTATAGCACTAACAGTATTCTTCTCATAACCATTCAACAAGTCTCTTGGAAGTTCCAAATTTTCCCTAATGTTCCTGTCTTCTTCTGAGACTTCCAAACTGTTCCTGCCTCTGCCTGTTAATCAGTTCCAAAACTGTTTTCACATTTTCAGGTATCTTTATAGCAATATCCCACTTCTGGTACCAAGTTACTATATTAGCCCATTCTTGCATTGCTACAAGAAAATATCTGACACTGGCTAATTTATAAAGAGGTTTAACTGGTTTATGGTTCTGCAGGCTGTACAGGAAGCATAATTCTGGCATCTACTCAGCTTCTAGGGAGGCCTCAGGAAACATAATCAAAGGAGAAAGTGAAGGGGAAGCAGGCTCCTATTACATGACCAGAGCAGGCAGAAGAAAGAGACAGGGTATTGTTCTCTATGCAGTATCCAGATGCTTAGAAAAAAAATAAAAATAAAAATAAAGAAAGAAAGAGACAGGGGAGATACTACACACTTTGAAACAACCAGATCTCATGAACTCTATCACAAAAATGGCACTAGGGGGATGGTGCTAAACCATTCATGACAACCTGCTCCCATCATCCAATTGCCTCCCACCAGGCCCCACCTCCTGCACTGGGGGTTACAATTTGACATGGGATTTGGGATTCAAACCATGTCAGTACCCTTTAACTAATTTCCCCAAGTGGTAATATCTTGGAAAACTATACCATGAATGAGTGTGGAATTTTATCAAAAGCTTTTTCTGCATCAAATTCCTGTCATCAAGAATTATAAGATTATTATTTTCTTCTTTATCTTGTTAATATGGTAGATTACACTGATTAATTGATTTTCAAATATTAAAACAACTTTGCATCCCTGAGGAAAAACCTACGTGATTGTGGTATATAATGATTCTTCTATATTGCTGTTTTCTTTTCTTTTTTTAAATCTTTTTTAGAGATGGGGCCTTGCTATGTTGACCAGGCTAGTCTTAAGCTCCTAGACTCAATTGATCCTCCCATCTTAGCCTCTCAAAGTGCTATGATTACAGACATGAGCCACCATGCCCAGCCTATATATTGCTATATTTTATTTGCTAATTTTTATTTTTATTTTATTTATTTATTTATTTAGAAACAGAGTCTCACTCTGGAATGCAGTGGTGCAATTTCAGCTCACTGCAGCTTCTGCCTCCTGGGTTCAAGCAATTCTCCTGTCTCAGCCTCCCAAGTAGCTGGGATTACAGGCATGCACCACCATGTCAACTAATTTTTATATTTTTAGTAGAGACGGGGTTTCACCATGTTGGCCAGGCTGGTCTCAAACTCCCGACCTCAGGTGTCTGCTTACCTCGGCCCCAGAAGTGCTGGGATTACAGGCATGAGTCACCACACCCTACCACTATTTGCTAATTTTTTAAAGTTTTTTGCATCAATATTCATGAGGGATATTGGTCTACAGTTTTCTTTCTTTGTACAGTCTTTATCTAGTTTTAGTAACAGGATAATACCAACCTCATAAAATAAATTGAAAAGTTTTCCCTCCTCTATTTTTCTAGAAAAGATTGTATAGAATTAATTTTATTTAAAGTTTTGTAGAATTCTCCAGTGAAACCATCTGAACCTGGCGATTTCTTATTTGGGATTTTTAAAATTTATGAATTTGACGGTATTAATAGTTATAAGACTTCAAATTAACTCCATCATATTGGGTGAGTTGTGGTTATTGTTTTCCTTGAAATTGCTTCATTTCATCTAAGTTAAACCTACTCTCTTGTGATTAATGTATGCATGATACATCATTTTCTCACCTTGTACTGTAAACCTGACTATATCATTATATTTGAAAGAAAGTTTTTGTATACAGTACATAGTT